TATTAGTATATACACACTCAGTGATCTTGGCAATTTAAGCAATCTGATTGGTTCGCTTTCTCGGACTATTCAACAATATTCACCTTCTAGCGAGTGGATAATGTGTGAGCTCAGTGTTTTTCCCATTTTTTAGAGAACGATCTTTTAAAAGTCAACAACATCCTAGCGCTGTCAGTTTACTGTAGCTGAGTTTTGTGCTCGATGGATTGTTTACAACTCCCGTGTATTCGCGTAGAAGAAGCCGTTTCGTGAACTCAGCATTTTCTATCAAGAAAACTTTGGCTCAAAAATCGGAGTTTATTTATGACAAACAAATTTAAAAGGAAATGTTTGCAGAAATTCTACGTTTCAAGTAAACAGGAAAAAGAATGATACAGGAAGATGACGTCTTACCTCGAACAACCGAGCCGGCCATTTTTGTCAGCACTTCATGCGAAGAACGACACAACAAGCCCTTTTGGCTATAAACTTGGCGAGTCAACAGAAAACAACAAAGCTCCACTTTTCTTCTCAGGTAAGGAAACAGTTCAAACTTTTAGCGGTTCCATTTAAGCCATTACGCTGTTGTTTTCGACACGATAAACTTGTGAATTGCCATGTTTGAAAATTCTGCAAAGATCTATTTTTAAACTTATGCGTGATTTGATCTGTCAATCAAATTGTACTTTTTAATGGTTTCCTCTCTGATTTTGTTGAGATCACTTCGTGTGTATATACTAAAACAATTATTCTTTTCAATCTAGGTGAATAGTGGCTTTGGAAATATTTACCTGGCCGCTTTCGCAGCTCGGCAAATATTTAGCCACTATTCACCTCAATTTCTGCAGATGAAACAATTTTGAGCCCATGGTGGGAAGAACCTATCATCTGATATTGAACACAGGGACCTTGTTTTCTAGCTATAAATATTACAGAAACTTTCAACACTTATCGATCTTCTCTATGACTATAACACAGGTCACAAGGACATTCATGCCACTACTTAGCACATGACTCCTGGTTTCAAAACTTTATTCTAAACTGGGATGTACCATGTCATCTATACAGGCAACTAAATTCAAGCTCTACATCACAGTTTTTCCATGTTCACTTGTTTTCAGTGTCCCATTAAAAGAGCGGTAAAGTAGATATATTTCTTTAAAAACAAGAAGAACTTGCCACTCACCTCTTCATCAGGTTCTGACTCTTCAGATGAGTCCTACAACAAAAACGAGAAAAGATAAGGCTAAAGTATAACTAATGACGAGCTAGATCCAAAAGGGATCCTTTACAACTATTTATACATGTACGGCTTTCCTGTACACAGAATATTGACGAATTGGCTCTCGCAAACGTTGGAACATAAACGGACTTCCTGCTCTATGCAAATAAGGCTAACCGTCGAGGTCACGCTGAATGAAGCTGATGAAGTGGTCGGGTTCTCCGAAGCCAACGGGTTCGCAATGCGTAGTCCTAGGTAAATTCATAGAGTTAGTCCACGAAACTAAACTTTCAATTCAAAAACGTTCTAGGGATGGAATTGTTACAACCCTGATCAATAATATTGCCAAGCTAAATTAAAAAGTGAGATGTGATAAGCTATGACAAGTATATTGTGTGGTATTTGGTGAGAATTCTGTGAACTGAAGGTTAAAAGAGGAAAAGAATGCCTTACGTTACGACGACTTTCTGACGCATTACTAGTGGAAGCAACGACCTCCAATGAGTTGGAACCAGCTGAATCAACCGAAGCCAAATTTCCCTCGCTTTCTGCCATATTGGCAACAACGTTCAACAGGGAATGACTCACTTGGTAACCACGTCTTTGTCCTCGTAGGAAAATGTGACGTCACTGTAGGAATCTGTAGGAATTGGTAGGAATCCACCACCATATATGGCGCGCAAAAAATTTTAATAATTCTGTTACGCTTTTCGCGGTACGTCCGATAATATGCATTACCCTTTCAAAATATTTAGTAGAATCACTGGTTCCGTTTGAATATTTCAAGCTATAACTTTTTCTTGTTTATCAACGCTATTAAATGCCATTTATGCTTCCGTCTATGGTTTTCGCAAGGAATCAATCTTCACAGTTGGTTGTAAGCTAAACACACATAGGAAGACCTGGAAAAAGACAGTGATGGCTACAGCATTGGCTATTGTTTAAGCAATGCATCCCGGGAAAGCCACATGAAGCGATGTATATCTTGCTTGAGGATCTAGAGGGCATATCAAATAAGCCAGTGACCGCAGGATCATCTCTCGCATTCCGATCTTCTACGATTTCCTGACGATGAATAAAGTGGACAAAACGAGCCGTCACCAGGAACAGACAAACCGACACTAGAGATATAGAGAACAGAAGCTTCATCGTACTAGCTGTTGAGCAGAAAGTTTGGGCAAAATTCATCAATATACGCTGCATATCTGTCAAATAAACTTCTCGTAAAAGATACAAGAATAGGGTGCCCTTAAGGATAACTTTATACCACTGTCTTCACGTGCTTTTTAGACCATGTTTACATGGAGTGGGGGACCCTGGTCAGGTGGGGTAGGTTTCTGTTGCTTTGTGTCCCCCAGAGCGTGAAAACAAAAGAAACCAACCCCACTAGACCGGGGTCCCCCACTCCATGTAAACAGGCCCTTAGTCTCAAAGCACACGCATGAGTCATGAGTAGCCTGCCAGCGAGATCTCCTGGGGTTCTCGGGGCTACGGTACAGCCAGAAAGCCCCGGGAGGGCTTGCTCTAACGCATGAGCAAAGCGTAAACGTAAATGAGCAAAACATGTGTGACTCATGGGTAAGAAAAAGTCTAGACTGCAGAACAGTTAGTTTTTTTCTCAAAATCGGTGTAGCTTGACTCTCACACGCGCGAGGCGCGCGAGCCTCACACGACCGTCTTTCTCCCGTCTCGCTCTCAGTTTTCACCCTCGCTTCAGTTTTGACTGCTCGCGCGTGCTTGATTTCGCAAAAATACGGACTGTTTTGCAGTCTAGAAAAAGTCCATCAATCAATCAATCCATCAATAAGATTAAGTATTTATTTATACTTGACTTTGTTAATATTGGCAGAGTCACTGCAACAGCAGTCCAACGAAGTCCAACTCCTTGGTTTAAAAATAACCTCAATTTACCTGTAACCCGCCAGTTTATTGACAGTTACCCAAATGGGTAGCCCCCCCCGCAGGCGTTTTTACGATCTCCCCTTAAAACGCCTTCGGGGGAGGCTACCAAATGGGCGGAGTTATAACCATCACGAGTGTACTATATCCCTTGCATGGGGACTATATGCAAAAGAAAATATATCTCATGCCACTCATTCGTTACCAACTGAATTCAAGGTCCAGAGGCAGAAGCGAGATTAAGGCAATTAGTCAATAATACTTTAATCACAAGATCAGTTTTAGATTTTACATTACTACTGATCATGCCTTTACTGCCTGCAAAAGAGACATGTCAGTCCTATGCGATTTTTTATATTTTCAAGATGTTGGAGAGAAGATGATAACAAAAGCTCAGTAAGTTTAAAACTCATCATGACAATCAGGGTTTTACTCTCGTCCGCCAACAGCAGTTTTCTTTTTTTGGTTGTTTTAGGCGAATTTGACGAGAACAGAAGGTGAGAACGGACGCAAAGCACGATAACAACAAAAAAAAAAGAGAAACTCAAAGAAAGAAACGAAACGATCGTCCATTTTCTCTTTTACCCTTCCCCAACACCCTGCGCTAGATGTCAATAAATCACCCGCGGTTTTCATTTTCAAACTGCGCGCTCGACGAGCTCTATAAAAAGAAAGTAAAGGACTGTGAACAGGCTAGAGTTTTACAGCGACGTACCACTAACGTTTTGCGGAGTAGATCCAAAGCGAAATAGTGTAGTTGAGAAAGTGGCGCCCTTTTTCTTATCTTTTTATCCTCATTTCAAACAATCGATTTTAAAAAGCCTTTTGCTAAATGTAGAGAAGTGTCGATTAAACAGAGAACACGGCTGTTGTCTTTTTTTTTTTTGAAGGGGGGGCGGGGGGGGACAAAGTTGATTTAGGAAGGAAATAAATTTGGGTAGAAAAGGTATACACGCCATATACGGCATTTACGTCACTTGCTGCAAAAAAAAGTTTGCTTTAGGGCTCAGTTTGGGCAGCATGTACAGATTTTGTTGCAAAAAGTAGAGCTAACCTCCACTTTCTGCAAAAACTTTTTGTAACCTGCAACAACCTGGTTGTTGCAAGGCAGGTTTGACCTCGTGGGTGGTAAAACGCCGTACGTGCCACATTGCTATTACAAAACATGAAGCTGCACAAAATCTAGTTTTATAGTAGAAAGACTGAGAACCTGGAACAGGCTATAAGAATATCAACTCACCAAAAAGGTTGCTTTGAAGAGAATAATCGAACGTTTCCTCGGAATTCTTGGTAAAAACCCTCCAACCGAATACCAAGTACAAAGACATTTTACAGTCAGTTCATCAACCACTTATCAGCCTTTGCCGTATGATATGCTCGCGATGCTATTTAACAATTAATGAATGAGGCGAAGTATCTTATGAAGAATTATAGAGATCGAGGAGGGCGTTATCGGTCGAGGCCGTTAGGCCGAGGCGGATAAAACCCTCCGAGATCTCCATAATTCTTCATATGATACAAAAGCCGAATTCAATAATTGTTTTATCATTCATTCAAAATAATTCCTAGTTTAAAAACATAGCTAAAACATGCTTACCTCCATCGATGTTAAGTTCATCTTCGATAGTGCACGTTCAGGGTTGTTCAGCTCCGCAAATATTCTCCAAATAGCAGACGTCGCCCTTCGAGTTGTCTTCTTGCTGTTCTTGCCATGTTTTTAGCTATTATTTCGCCTAGCTCTTAGTCTTGAAACGAGTGAAATGTCCGCCATTTTTCTTTTCACAACCAAAACAACTCAACCTCGTCCCCTGTAGTTCTCGGTAAACCGTGCATTAACCTGCAAAGAAGCTGCACTTTTGACGTCATCGGTTGATTAATCGCAAAATTCTTCCAAATTTGGTCATCAAGAGCTGGTTATGGTGAATTATGCGTGTACCTTACAAATTGTAAGCAGTTTGTAAGTATCAAGCCTCCCTATGATAGTGCCTATTGAACAACATAGATAGATACTTTAGATAGATACTTTATTATAAACACCATTGCAGCCATAGGCTGAATTACGGGATATTTACAAGTACTGATGATAACAAAGAGAAAATAAGAAAAATTATCTACATCTTATAGACATGGCTAAAAATAAAACTTTTCTCGAAACGCTCGGTTTTACATAGAGGGAGAGTGAAATCACTTTTGCGTCTCAGAGCATATTTACAACTCTTCCTTTTGGGGGAGGAGGCTATGGAGACTGTGGGTGGGGTTACAGACGATCTCGTCAAACAGATCGATTGAAATCTTTTCTCTCCTCTCATGAAGTTTCGGTAGGCCAACTGTTTCTAGTGCTACACTATATGACAGGTCAGGATGGATGATTCTGAAAGCCCTTCTTTGGATCCGTTCCAAATCTTCACTGATGTAGTTTGGTAGGGAACAATGGAATACAGGACTTGCGTATTCCAGGACGGGCCTAATACATGTCACATAGAATTGCACCAGTTCACTTGGTGCCACTCCGGATCTCTTGAGTTGACGTAAAAAATAGAGACGAGAGGAACATTTTCTAATTAGTTCAGAGGAGTGCATGTTCCACTTTAAATCGTGGCTAATGGTCACGCCTAGCAATTTGGCACTGGTGACTGATTCAAGGGGTTTGCCATTTAGGACTATGGGTTCAAAATCGTGGTTGCTGTCGGAGAATCCAATTCGAAGTTCTTTGCACTTGGCCTCTTTCAGTTGGAACCCATCGAGACTCGCTTGTCTCGAAAGGTCATCCAGAGCTTCTTGGAGTTTGCTCTCACTACCCTTTGTAACTATTTCGGAACAAGATGGAGGCATGTGTAACGAGCATTATCTATTCTGAATGCTTAGTGTAACTGTACCAGGAATCTCAGTCCTTTCTAACCTAAATTTAGACTGGTTTATTATTTGGAATAGTCTGGAGTCTTGAGTCTTGCTGTACATGCAGATGATGAAAGAGAAAAAATCTCCGTTTTTAACGTATCCGAGTACGCGTGGACGAGCCCTGAACCTATTGCTTTTTATGACGTTCTTGATGCCGTCACCCTACGCTTTGCTTAAACTTATACAAATACCAGAATTTAGAGAACATCATCGGCCTCTGACGATTCAATCGAAGTTAAGACGAATTTTCGCCCATAATTTGTTTACACACCAAACTTAAATATCCATGAATTATCCGTCTAGGATAGGACCGGTAACTTGCATCTCACGCACTGACAGATAATTAGTCTCTGGTATATATTATAAATCGGCATAATGTGCGCTCTATCTGCTAGCTTCTTTGGTACACCAATACATGTATATTCTAAATGGAATATGATCAAGTCCAGTTCTTTTGTTAATGAAGTACTTTCTTTTTATCTCATCAAACAGCTCTCGAAAAGACTTCTTGATGCTCTCACTGCTGTTGATTATAACAGAAAAAGACGCAAAGAACTCGTAGCAGTCTTCAAAAGAACTCGGTAAATCTAGACGATAGCTCAAATTTTCGTCCACATTGGTGAACAACTTCCTAGGAGATGTGTCGAACACATTTTTCCACATCTCATTGAAGGGTAAGACTACGGACTGCTGTTTAAAAAAAGGGTCCAAGAACGCCCAAATTTCTGCTAGCCAAGGCAGGGAAAAATCAGGCAGGAACCAAATCATACCAAAACTCCCATCTGTTGACAGTACCCGATGAATCTCTCTAAGAGCGGATAGGTTTGCGAACCAGTGAAAACACTGAGCTGCAATAACCACATCTACGCTTTCATCTGGCAAACCTTTGAAATGAAAAAGAGTTCGAGTCAAAGAAGAAAAGTGAAAAGGGTACACTTTGACTTCATATACCAACTCCCTCCATGATTCTTTCATCTCAGTTTTCCTCAGTGTCTTCTTCTAAAGTATGTT